AAAAACTCGAAGAAAACGTCATTTTTTCAAGTTAATTTAATTATTATTATTTCAACAGTGATTTTTACATTCCCACACAGATCGAAGATCTCCTCGGCCCATAATTGATAAAAGAAAGGTTTGCAAACACAAATTTTAAGAGAATTTACGAAGCTTTTCTGGCTCTGCATCTCATACAACAACAACAACGATCGAGGCCACGCGAAACAAAATGCTCTTTGAACGACCTGGTACTGGCTCGGCCAATTCCAGCATTCGTTTGGACGCTGTAATAGCAAAATCGCGTGTTAAACCTGGGAACTCATTCATTAAATCGAATAGACATTCTTCAAATGAAGTCATTTAAATGAACAAAACGACATTTCTCAAGGTATAGATTTTTCTTTGTCGTAAGATCAAAATTGAAATTTAAAACATTTCAAGAGAAGAAAAGGCATGTAAGAGCAGTTTAACTCGTGATAAATAACACAGCGGATTGGCGGTCTTTTATGCGATTTCCGCATCAGTGATCATGCAAAGGCTGCAATCATCGATATCTTATCTATAAAGTTGTCTTGAAAAACAACAAATGATAGCCGGTACTAGCCCACAAAAATCTTTTCTGAATTTCATTTATCATATCTACAGTATGTATCGGGTGGTAACTTGAAATTCCTTCTATAAAGTACCCTTGTGAGATGTTAACGTTGTTTGCAACTTGTTTGCTTGACCCAGCAGAACATGTAACTTAATTGCATCCGTAATGATGAATAAAGTAACCGCGAGATCGCATACGTTTTCATACTTAAACCTGTTGTTTCAGTTGGCAATCCACAGGAGAATCCTGCTAACTCGAACTCCAAAGGGAAATGAAAAATAATTCGAATTAGTAAAGCTTCGAGTTATCGGGATTGGATTTGAATTGAAATAATCCCGGTTATAATTAATTTCGAACCACGTGTATACAATTCTTGTAAAATAACCGTCGTTTTTTGGAACCTTTACTTTGTTCAGTGTAAGAACGTTTACACGAGTTACTTTTTCATAAACGTTACCAAGTTCATTTCGATCGCGATTATTTAGTTCATATCGGTCAGTCAGTTATGTTTTGATACCCGGACGTTTCTCGAACGACTTTATCAGGGTAAATTTGAGCTAAGGAACGGTAAAATTAGTTGAGTTAAACGACTTCAAATTCAAGGGAAGTTCAATCCTGTTCGAGTTAACGATTGTGAGGTTCTACTGTATTGAGGAAGCAAAGCACAGTTTCTCAAATGGGTCGAAAAACAGAATTTTGTACTGCAACGCGGTCAGTTACAAGAAGAGGACAGAAAGCATATTTAGTTCAAAGTAAAACGGCATGAATTTTATTTTTCCCGATATATTTTTGAAGAAAAATTAGTTTTAAAGTTGACAAAGAATAAAATATATAAGTTTTGAGAAAGATACGAATCTATCTATCTAACAGTTTAAAAAGAGAAAAATAAAGACTGCTGCATTAAATAATGCAAATTATTATCCAACTGTGCTTCGTAGAGTACAAAAGATGCGCGAGACGAGTACAAATATCATGCGATATTTGTACTCCAGAAATATCCTCTTTGTTTGTATTTTGACTCGCCCTACGGGCTCGTAAAAATACGGCAGAACTCGTAAAAATTCTCAGCGATATTGCACAACAAAAGATCTAATAAGATATCTACCAAAATCATCCGAAAGTTTTATTCAATTTCTTGAGACAAAATAAGAATCGATGAGGCTTACCGCTTTAGAAGTTTGGGAACTGAAAAGTCGAGCTCTTAAAGAGTCAATGAACAGATGACAAGTAAGTAAGTTCCGCAGTCTTCGGCAGAAAAGCGAAGGTGAACCAAATATTTTCAACGGGTCGATCTCGTGATGTCCATTAGAATGCTTCTGTTTTTATTTAGGAGTACGGACAATAACTCGCTTTCACACACGTCGCTACCAGCCATGCAAATTTTTTGGAACAAAAGAGAAATTTACTTCAGAATAGAGTTCAAATCCCAAAGCGCTGACCTGGTCCACCAAGTGTGACTGAGGGGTAGGACATTTCCTCTAACCGCTCAGTTCTACAGGTATCATATGTGAGTATGTTGGGTAGTGTTAATCTTGTGCCCAGATCCTACCGTACTAATCATTGCAACGTGGAAGGTCGGGGTACGATATTATCTTAATCGTTGTATCAGAAACAAATTAAGATAAGGATAACATATGGACACAGCTGGAGCAAGACAAAGACAGATCTAAAAATACCAACTGATGTTTTCTTCGTACAAAGACAGTTTAGTTTCTCGTCAAAATATCGTATCGGGCAAGCAGGAAACATATCAAACTCACGGGGTACAAACAGTCTCTTACTGAATTTCATGACCACGCCCACTTCATCAGCCCACTCAAATCGAGTGCGATTTTTGGATGTTATATCATCTTGCCGACTCTCTGTATAAAAAGTTAACAATGTACCACCGAAATATTGAACTAAGATATCATGGCTTTCCATTTTGTGTATTTTCGTACTACAAAGTAAAGTTTTTCCCTCGTCATTTTCACCTTTTCCTGAGCGGGTCCGTCAAAATTAAGAAGGCGTTCGTGGTCAAAACAAGACCGAGCAAGGAGTCTTGGGCTATTTCTCTCTTACGCAAGCGCATATTGAAAATGTACCGCCAAAATCAAAGAGAGGAACAAATTTCCTTTGTTTTGATATGTAAATTGTCGAAGAAGGAGCAGATTGAACCTCGTCAAATGGCTATTCAAAACAGCCACACCTTCCTCCTTTTGCTCGTTTCCTGTTTTATAAGCGTGAAAGCAGTGGGAGAAGAATCGGGTAGCTCGGAAAGCGCTTCACCATCGTTTACTTACGAGATAAACAAGTAAGATTTGTAAAGTTATTTTCCGAAAGAGTCGGAATAAATACATTTTTTTCAGGTTAGATTGCTGTTTTTACCCTAAACGTCGTCCAATAAATTTTTGTTGCAGCCTACTAATCTATACAATTTCGAAGGAAAATATTCAGATGCCTCACCGTCCCCGAAGGGGGTTCTGTCCTGGTGTACCGGTTCACAAGGGAATTACCATTGTTCTTTCTTTGTTTAGGAGTTATCGGTTAGCTATTGTGTATTGTTTGGTCTTTTGTATTGGCTCTTGTGAACCGGTACACGCGGACAGAACCCCGAAGGGTCTCCACTCATCGAAGTGTGTACTGTAGCCAATGTAGTGAATTTTCAGTCTCTTGTTGGGTTTGTCAACCTCCGTGACTTCAATATCATACAATTTTGTATCTTTTCTCTGTGAAATGACTTTTTTAACAGGGGTGTATGCTGATTATTCGTTGCAGAATCGCTTTGCTTCTCTTATCTCTCTCTTTGGCTTGTCCGCCATTTTGAAAATTTGCTCAGGAGGGCATCTGGGTTAGCGGCCGCGCCAGGCTGGAACCGACAAAAACAAATGTCCATCGCAGTGGGGAAACAGTTTGATATGTTTAGAAACCTACTCATTTATGAAATGAACTTTGTAAAGTTTAATTCATTTTATTCCTCGAGAGAATTAAGAAGAAGAGCTTTTTCTACGTATAAGAGATTATATAAACAGTTTGTAGACTGTTGCTGTACATGCCTTAGACTGAATCATTGTCTTTGGAAGAAAGACTAGCAGTCAAAGCTGTTCATCTATAGCGTTATCAATTTCGAATCTTCCAATTTAGTATCTCTCCACAAGTCTCTGAAATGTACACCAAAGCTAACCGGACACTCGGATACGTTAGACGGAATTCAAGAACCATCAAGAGCACAAGTATAAGGCGTTCGATGTATCTTGCCCTTGTTCGACCTCACCTTGGCTACGCTACCCAGGTGTGGGCCTCACAACGGAAGAAACTCATTAAACAAGTTGAACGAATTCAGAGACGTGCCACAAAGTTTATTTTGGGACTACCGTTCCGTTGCGATATGTCATACAAAGAGAGACTCATGAAACTGAAACTATTGCCCTTAACGTACTGGCATGAGTATGTTGACTTGATATTCTTTCTCAAGTTAGTCAATGGCCTTGAGGATTGTAACCCAACAATTTTACCTAAAGTTCGCTCGGCCCGGCCCACAAGATCAACTACTTTTTGAGCTTCAGAGCAATTCGTAATTCCTAAATGTAAAACATTCACTTTTCAAAAGTCTTTTATAATTAGATCTACACGCATCTGGAACACAATATAAGTATTTAAATGGGCTTTTTGAGCATGATATGAATTTCATAAGACACCAAGGAAAACTTGGTTGTAACACAAGCACTCAGCTAAATCTCGGATTGAAAAGTGTCCAAAGGAACTGGAAAAGAAAAAAGACAATACTTAAAAAACAATAATGATAATATGCTACTTCTACTGGCGCAATCTATAAAAGCCTATATCCTCAACTAATGGGAAAGGAAAGTTGTTCATTAGGAAGAAACCGTTAACTAAAGAACGGTTGCGAAGGAGACTCGGAATTTTAGGCCAGAGGAGGTAAACACGAGACATACGCACGGAAGGATGCAGCGGACCACACGCAACAATCGTCCTTCGAGCTCTACCCAACCTCCTCTCACGCCAGGCTCTGTTCGCCTCAAACTTCAACCTAATTGCTTTGCAGAGAATGCGCTACAAGACACGAACTCTTAAACCATTTCTAGGTTGATTGGGAATCGAATAGGAGATAGAGCTTTCTTGATGCTTATGGAAACAAGAGCTTCGTAGGTTGGCAGGTAGTGGAGTAGCTATGATTTCACATGTACGAATTTCTGTGTTCCTTACGTAAAGCGGCTTCCACCGCTGCTCTATTTGGTGTGTCAGCAAGCTCGTGTTCACGCCGCGAAAATGACTGACAAATGCGTATGATTAGGTCCATGTGGATTCTACGCGCGGTTTTTTGCAAAACGGAATTCTATGGTATACAGATTTCTAGGGGTATTTGCTCTATCAACGAACCTTTCCCACTAATAAAACGCAACACAAAAACTATACAAATGCAATAACGTAACTCCTTTAATAATCAGGCTGAGCTAACCTACTAATGGTAAGATTGTTGTAGGTTTCATCGCCTTCAATCATAAAATTACAATACCTACAGCAGGCCAATAGCTACTATTGTTCACGATTCAACTATGAACAATTTTCAAATTTTTAACGAGTTACTTCGATATCAAAAACTAGAAATTAAACTTACTTGGTCTAGAGGAACCATACTGCGAAAAAAGTAAAAAAATCGTTGCAACAAAGTCACAGACGACTTTTTAAACTGTTACGACTGATGTCTCTATGTTATGTAAAAATCCTGAAAGCGAGTGACAGGTTTTGATTCTATATTACACAGACAGAACTGAATAACATCTGCTCATGTCACGTAGATGCCTATAAATTTATAGCAACGGTATGTATTAATTGATGTGGCATAATTTTAAATAAAACTTAAAGCCTTAATATCTTTGATCCATTAAGACTACTTTTTAGGGCAAAAGCATTAAAAAAAAAAAAAAAAACTATCGCTGAGGACCGCTCAGCTCAAGTGTTGGTATCAACGTAGCCGAATTTACTCCAAATGCATTTTTACGATCGAAATAAAACGGATTATTCCAGCAAGGATGAGACTATGATGTATAAAAAATGTTTCCTATCCCTTTTGAGAGACATCTGAGGCGTAAGTTTGAAGCTTGATTTCTCTACTAGTGTCGTAATCTAGGGGAAAAAAAACTGCACCGCGTTTCAAATTTTAAACATTCTGTCCTTTTTAGTCTAGTGTTGCTATGGTTACATGAGTGAGCTTGCAAAAGTTCCTGAGATTTAAATGTGGTTTTCACCTCTGCCTTTTACAGATCGGTTGCAGCACGTGCCAAACGTAAAAGACCGCACTCTGATCGGCTCTTTAACTTGTAATGTTAATTGCTAGAAGTCTGCCTTACAGGGAAATATTGTCTGTTGTTCCTTAAATTTACTAGATTACTATGCATCACATTAGGTGTTGCTTGGCTTAATTCTGTATTAGTATGCTGTACACAATGAAGCCTTCATATCTTTCTTTGAACTCTCAGTTTTGATTTGATCTTCACTGATCTACGAGTAACGAGCATAACGCCCTAAACAATTACGATTTAAAAAATTTATGATTGTTGAACTTTATGGGTTACTAATGTTAAGTTCTGCTGTACGGAGCTGAGCAAGTCCATTCTGAACAAATCTCACCTCGCCACCTTCAGGGCCAAAGTTCTTGACATAAATGGCCAATGCAAGATCATAACACTCCTTTGCTTTTTGGATGTGACCCCGATAATTGTGCACAGCGCCCAGGTTTATGTAAGTATTCGCTACCTCGACGTGTTCCGGACCAAATAATTTAAGGCGAACATATAGCGCTCCCTCATGACAGTCTTTTGCCTGCTTCAGGTCACCCAGCCGCCGGTGGACATCGCCAAGGTTATCGTAAGACATTGCGACATGAACATGTTCAGGTCCGAGCTTTTTTAGCCAGACATACAGCGCTCGCTCATGACAGTCTTTTGCCTGCTGTAGGTCACCCAGCTGCTGGTGGACAAGGCCTAGGTTATTGTAAGAAATTGCGACATAACAATGCTCAGGTCCGAGCTTTTTCAGCCGAACATCCAGCGCTCGCTCGTGACAGTCTTTTGCCTGCTTTAGGTCACCCAGCTGCCGGTGGACATCGCCAAGGTTATCGTAAGACGTTGCAACATCAACATGCGAAGGTCCGAGCTTTTTCAGCCGAACTTCCAGAGCTCGTTCGTGACAGTCTTTTGCCTGCTTTAGGTCACCCTGCTGCTGGTGGACAAGGCCCTGGTTACAGTAAGACATTGCGACATTAACATGCTCAGGCCCGAGCTTTTTCAGCCAACCATCCAGTGCTCGCTCGTTACAGTCTTTTGCCTGCTTTAGATCACCCAGCTGCCGATGGACATTCCCAAGGTTATGGTATGACGTTGCAACATCAACATGCGAAGGTCCGAGCTTTTTCAGCCGAACATCCAGCGCTCGCTCGTGACAGTCTTTTGCCTGCTTCAGGTCACCCAGCTGCCAGTGGACATTGCCAAGGTTATAGTAAGACATTGCTACATGAACATGCAAAGGTCCGAGCTTTTCCAGCCAAACATCAAGTGCTCGCTCGTGACAGTCTTTTGCCTCCTTTAGGTCACCCAGCTGCCGGTGAACATCGCCAAGGTTATTGTAAGACATTGCAACATCAACGTGCGAACGTCCGAGCTTTTTCAGCCGAACATCAAGCGCTCGCTCGTGACAGTCTTTTGCCTGCTTTAGATGACCCAGCTGCTGGTGGACAAGGCCCACGTTATTGTAATACATTGCGACATTAACATGCTCAGGCCCAAGCTCTTTCAGCCAAACATCCAGCGCTCGCTCGTGACACTCTTTTGCCTGGTTTAGGTCACCTAGCTGCTGGTGGACAAGGCCCAGGTTATTGTAACACATTGCGACATCAACATGCTCAGGTCCGACCTTTTTTAGCCAAACATCCAGCGCTCGCTCGTGACAGTCTTTTGCCTGCTTTAGGTTACCCAGCTGCCGGTAAACATTGCCAAGGTTATGGTAAGACGTTGCTACATGAATATGCTCAGGTCCGAGCTTTTTCAGCCGAACATCCAGCACTCGCTCGTGACACTCTTTTGCCTGATTTAGGTCACCCAGCTGCTGGTGGACAAGGCCCAGGTTATTGTAACACATTAACATGCTCAGGTCCGAGCTTTTTCAGCCGAACATCCAGCGCTCGCTCATGACACTCTTTTGCCTGCTTTAGGTCACCCTGCTGCTGGTGGACAAGGCCTAGCTTACCGTAAGTAATTGCGACATCATCGTGCTCAGGTCCGAGCTTTTTTAGCTTAATATCCAGCGCTCGTTCGTGACAGTCTTTTGCCTGCTTTAGGTCACCAAGCTGCCGGTGGACATAGCCAAGGTTATTGTAACACATTGAGACATGAACATGCGAAGGTCCGAGCTTTTTCAGGCAAACATTCAGTGCTCGCTCGTGACAGTCTTTTGCCTGCTTTAGGTCAGG